AGTTTTTTTTCCTGGATACTTATGCAATTTAAATTGTTTTAAATATTCAGATTTGTAGAGCAAACTTTTCTGATCAAAATAAGACCTCGTACAGCTCTTTTTGACCTTGTATCAAAAAGTTACGGGCATTTTCCTAGAAGTCCTAAAATTGAGTATTTCATACAGCGTTTTCTCTATATAAGAGTTACACCTGAAGTATTTCCCAAGATCTTTTATAGCCGTTTGTTATATAGAGTTTATTCTTTTTTTGTTTAAAAGAGGAAAAGAAACTACGTGGACTGACCGACGTCGATTTTTGAATTAGGTCTTAGTTTTTTGTGAAATTGAGGATTTTTCGGATTTTGGAGGTTGTTGATTGCCTGGAAAGCCAATAAAGGCTTAATTGAAAAATCGGCGCCGGTCAGACCATGTAGTTAGGTGTCCAGCTTAAGAAAAACAAACCCGAACTCTCTAGCTTGAAGTATATTAAAACATCTTGGGAAATACTTCAGAGTCCTTTTTGGACCTTGATCACTAAAACGAAATTAGATTTCGGTCAAAAATTGAACAAAAAACAATTATCAGACTACAAAATACCGAAATAACGATATGAACAGATGAATTGAAAACAATAATATTATACATGGTTTACTGTTGATCAATATCGATTTACATTACAGTCGAACTTCAACAAAATTCAATTTATTGCATTAAATCATCAAAATACCTTCTTTAGTTATCTCTTCGGCGAGCGCTATAGAAGCATTTTCGAACAAGAAGGAACAATTTTTCATCACAACTTTCGACATCTATTCTCGATAATCCATTCGTTTCATTGAATGTATGCTCCATTGATGCAAATGATTCAAAAATCAAATAATAATTAATCTTGTTAATTTGTTATTTTTCTACTATTTTTTGTAATAATATTAAAAGAAAGGTGTTGATATTTATTTCATATATATGCACAACAATTCCTCTCTCGAAGTTGAGTAATCAACTTTGAACATAACACGTATATTCATATACTATTACGGCTTATAATTTGTATCGATCATGGTATAAAAATTATTCAAATATATAGAAAAAATATGCTGTTTGTTTTTTTTGTAGAACTGTTGATTGTAGAAGAATCGAACATGCGGTTATCCCATGGGTTATCAAAGAGCAAGAATGAATTTTATTTTTCTATTTCATCTTCATAGACTAAATATGTTTGTAATATTTCTATGTACTATAATGTTGTCATATTTTTTTTGATGGTAACTAAATTTTAATTGATCTTTCTCCACTTTCACTATTGTTGCTAATTGTATGATATGGATTCATTTTTTGATGCATATCGAATAAAAGTTTTTTCATTTCGCGAATCTAAAAGTAAAAACACTGACATAAACATTAAAATAAAATTAATTCTATACCTGTTCGTCTTTCTGTTGTAATAGTTTTTGTTTTGATTCGTCATGCTCATAGGGATCATCTCTGAAAAAATAAAATAAGAGGATTTCAGTTCAGAAAGAGAGAGAGAGAGGGAAAGTAATGTGAAAAACGTACTCATAAATATGATTTATTGTCTTCTTTCCTACCATTTGTTGTGCACGATAATTTTCATAATGAATATCAGAAGTAATATCTTTCAAATCTTGTAAATGTGTTCTAAAATAATAAGAAAGAGTAAAGAGATTGGTTACGGAGTGAAATTTTTTTTCTTCTTCAAAACATCCAATCTTTTTTTTGAAACAATGAAAAGTTTGAACAAAACAAAATAATAATCTCATACTTGCATAACATTTCTCTTAAATGTGATAGATCACTATATTTTGTGTCTTCAACATCAATCACACCCCATGGATAGGTACGAGCACGTATTTTATGACCATTTGACTCTACGATCACATTCGAGCCAATAATGGCGAATGGAATCGATTCCTAGAATAAATTCTTCGGAATAAAGATCAACTTATATATCTTTTTCTTTTATTTTCTTACTCTCAATGCTCGATCTAATTGCTGACTCTCTTCAACTTGATTAGCACCATTCTCAGGAAAATCATACAATTGAATACTATGGTGTTCTATATCATTCAGAAGCTAAAAGATATAGTGATTAGAAATTGACTAGAAACAGAGTCTAACTAATATACTTGTTTTTTTAACACTGTTAGTTCTGATTTTAATAGGGTATCTGCTTTAGCGATAACTGGTATTATGTTCACTTTATGTTGCAAATGAAATAAGAAATCTCGATCAATTGGTCTCAATCTAAATAAATGTAGAATTACAGGTTGTATTATGACGAAAGAGAACGATTCTTTTATGTCTACCCTCGAATACTAGGTGGAATGAAATAAAGGCAACAATGAACACGTTGATCTTGCACATATTTTCGTTCAACACCAAAACTTGTTTCTGCTTGAAAATACTTTAAAAATTGTTGATCAATAAATTCAGAAATTGGCTTCCAACTTAAAAGAAAAATTCTTATAGTTTATATAAATGCTTTTTGGATTCTTCACAATAAACACTTACCAATCTGTCGAGTTGAGACCATCGCCAAATCCCGGTGTATCCACAACTGTTAAACGCAATTTTACACCTTTTTCTTCAAGTTCGACTGTTCGTGTTTCAATTTCAACAGTCCGATGGATATGTACTAAAAAATGGAGGTTTATTCTGATTCTGATCAATGATTTTGTATATAGAGCTTACTTTTTCCAACTGGTATTGAGGAACCATATGTTCGATCCGAATATAATTCTGTCATGAACAACGTGTTGATAAATGTTGACTTACCCAAACCAGATTCTCCTGCAGATATCAAGCAGCAACGAAATTTTATTGATAAAATCTTTCTTTTTTTTACTATTTATAAGCGTTGATTCAAATTTACTTACCAACAACCATAATTGTGAATTCGAAGCCACGTTTAAGTGTCTTTTTATGTATTTGATCTGGCAGAGTTGAAAATCCAATAACATCCTGAAATGCATTGATATTTCGTTGATTCAATGAATAAATATTTTCGTCTTCACCTCCATAATTTTTTTTCAGTAAAGTCAGAAAAGGATGCGTAGAGGATGAAGTCATTTTAAAAATGCAATAAGTATACAACTACAATGTTTTTATACTTTTGATGATACTCTTTTTTTTAATTTTAATTTTTTTGTTCTATTATAGTTTTATGATCGATTTGTAGTTCTAAATTTACATCAATATAATCAGATAGAAGAATGACCTTTTAGA